GTAATAAATTCAACTTATAAATATTATTAAATCAAAACATCATTTTTAATAAAAACCATTTAGTGAATATGAACTTTCACAAGTAATTTCAGTGTAAGGTTTTATTTGTATATTTTGGAGGACACTTGGGGAATATTAACATTAGATTTAATAAATGCTTTAAGTTCTGGACATGTCTATATAATACCATAATAATATATAATACCATATATATATACTATCTAATACCATAATAATTGTTGGTTCATTAGTCATTTCACTCACACTCTTGGCTAATTCAATGAACATTTAGTCAAAATAGTTGTTGAATTTAATTAGTAGATTTGGTTTAGGTCAGAATTGTTAGGTCCGTGTTTAATATTATTCTCATAACTTATTTCAGGCTCTTACTATTCTGAAGTTACCTATGAGTACTTGCACATATGTGTGTACGAGCACACAAATTTGCATATAAATTTTGCCACCATCATCTGAGGTATCCATTTTCCTAATTGTACGTATTTCTACTATTCGTGTTTGAGGGAATTGAAACATCTCACATCCAAAATAATTTTAATTGTTGTAAAATTGATCATAAACCCAATTAAATTCAAGGAATATGAAGAGGAATAAAAACAATCCATTTTGCATTAAGTTAATTGTGTGACCTTTTATTAGGACCAATAAGTTTCCCTATCACATAGAATAGTATTTCCAAATTAATCATATACATTTATTAGAAGTTTGATTCCTCTGATTTGTAAGTTATTCTTTAAATAAATATAATAGTTATGTCAGGGACTATGATGCTATTTCATAATTTATGTGTCAAGACAACAAATTGTACCTTGGAGACCTTAAACAATGGTGGTTTCCTTTACATCAGTAATACAGTGTTTTGGATTTGACACAACTGGCTATACACATAACATGTAAGCACAATAACTTCGGTTTCTTTAAATGTCAATGAGAAACTCTTTTCTTGCTTTTTTGTGTTCTATTGGCTACGATATAACTTTATGATTTCCCTCACCATGTGTACCAATGGTGCTATAACAGGCTTCTCATAGTCTCCACCCTGTCTCGGGGGTAATCTGAACTGTGCATTGAGAGATTAGAGCTGGTGGTAGCTCAATGCAGTAGAAACATTTGGGAAATTCTCGTGGCCTTTGCCAAAGCATTCAGAAGGTTAAAACACTTCTAGGAACTGTCACCACAGAATTGGCTTTTCTGTCTGTTTTTTAAGTCCTTTTCATAAACACATCTGGAATCTCATACACCACCATAAATTTGTGAAGGAATTAGTAGTATTCACTCACAGCTGCTAAAGCACTCCCTCCTTCCACCCTCACAGAAAGTTAAGTTGGCAAAAGGCAGACCGTGACTCCAGTAAAGCTTCAGAAATATCAAGGGGAAGATAGTTTTCCTCAAGTTAAGCCAAGATATGAATTGTCTTTACCACATAAAAACTAGTGACAAGTCAATTGATCTGAATTGTGTTAGACTCTTTTGGCTCCATTGAAATATATTTAATATATGTGAGACTTTTTTCAAATTGAATAAAGTTTTCAAACGATCCAAATTGTTATACTATAGACACTGCAATACTTGAAATTATAAGACTTAACTCTTTATGGTTCTAAGGACCCACGTATTAAAGATCACTACAGAATTAACCAGGCCAGTGCTCTTGTGGCATATTCTAGTATCCATGTCAAATCCCAATTGGCCTCAGGTTCGAATTGTGTCTTAATCAGCTCATCCGTGGCAAAGAGAATATGGATGTTTCTATTTTACAGGATTGACAATGAGTTTTGTTATTCTTGTTTATTTCATTTGGGGGCTTTAAAAAGATGTGACTCTGAAAAGATCTGAAAAAGACTATAAATCAAACCTCACGACTGGATGCTCCTCCTGTGCATTAAAATGGTCTAAGCATGTCTGCTTTTTGAATTAGAATTATTTTTAAATTGGTGGTACTTTCAAACATTGAGAGCGTATTGTGTGTGTGTGCGTGCACGCACCTGCGTTCTTTTGTTGTTTTAAGTGTTTTAGCGGGAGAGACGTCTTTGGAATCATGTGTCTACACAACTTTCTACAAGGCAGCCAGACGCCCAGTGGATTTTAACTTTCTGGGCATCTGGGAATCGGGAATCCAAATGTGCTTTCTCCAGCTTGCATGTCCTTCACTTATCTTTGGAATAAGGTTAAAAGTGTCTTGGGCATTTTGTTATGTAGTATCTTGGTAAAATAGTAAATACTTGCTGCCAATTAGCATGACAGGTCTGTTCCTTGGCTTGGAGTTATCATGTGATCTGATTTCTTAAAGATGACTTGATTATGCAACCTTCCGAGTCTTGTATTGATTCAGCATTAT